AAGTCCAAGATCCAGGTGCTGGGGTGCAGGCAGAGTGTTTTTTGGGGAGGCCCCTGTCCTTGGCTTGCAGATGACTGTCTCCTCCCTGTGTCCTCAAGGGTGTGTCTATGTCCTAATATCCTCTTGGAAGGACAGCAGCCATATTGGATTTGGGTCCATCCAGGTGACCTCATTTATTTATTTATTTATATGAATTTTTAATGTTTATTTTTAAGAGAGAGAGAGAGCGAGACACAGAATCCGAAGCAGCTCTAGACTCTGACCTGTCAGCACAGAGCCCGACGTGGGGCTCGAACTCCCGAACTGCGAGATCATGACCTGAGCCGAAGTCAGACGCATAACTGACTGAGCCCCCCAGGCGCCCCCCTGCTGACCTCATTTAACTTCAGCACCTCTGTAATGACCCAGTCTCCCCATACAGACCCCCTTGGATGCACTGGGGGTTGGGACTAAGCATGGGAATTCGGTGGTGGCGGTGGGAGGCGGGGACACACTTCAGTCCGTGACACAGACCTACTTCGCTTTGGCAGGCAGCTCTCAGTTCAGCAGAATCCTGCTGGGGGCCTACCACGCCGGTCAAGGGGCCCTTGCTGCTAAGTCCCACAGAGGCGGCCAAGAACTGGGGTCCTTGTCACAGGAAGTCCCAAGAGATAAAGCGCCCCCCGCACCACGAAACATGCCACAGATCTGAAGACAATAGGAAAACCACGCAAGCGATTCTCTCAGGGAAACTCCACTCCCATGGCACTTTGCCTGAAAGGTCAAGCCCAGACTCGGAGGTGATGGGGGACCAGGTGCTGGAGACAGTGGTGGGGCTGCCACAGAGGCTGGTGGCAGTTGCGGGCAGGGCCAGCCTCTCCAGGCCCCCGAGTAAACGGTGACACCAGGTGGCGTCTTAGCGCTGAGGCTCCTAGCGGGGGAGTGGCCGCTGGCTCCTGACCTGCGGCGGGGACCCTGGCGAGGCGGGAAGCGGTGCCCAGGTGACCCGAAGGGCAGGGTGCGCTGGGCGGCAGGCAGCGCTGTGCTGGAAGTTCTTCTTAGCACGTCTGTCCGCCCACCTCCACCCTCCCGGCCTGTCCCCCCTCCCCGCGGAGAGAAACTCAAACTGGTTCAAAGAGTCACTTTTCTTGAGGGGCTGACTCATGATCTAAGGAAGTGTGCAAACAGCTTTTTATCTGCTTTGGAAACACCCCTTAGCCTAGAACGTCTCGGCACTGACACCAAATCCACATAGACTTACGTACCCGCTGGGCTGTGAGATTGTTTCCTCTGCTTCTGCGACCTCGTGATGACGCAACACCTGTTGTGATAAAAACGCTCAAAGAAAAAAAAAAAACACCTCTGAAAACTACGGCTGCCTGGTTCTCTTGCTTCCTCCCACTTTCTGCTGCTCGAGCTCCGTGAAATCAGGGCGACCTCACTTTGCAGGAAATCCTGCCGGCGGGTCTCTGGGGATCAACCCAGCCCCTCTCTGGGGAATAGGATGCGCCTCTAGAAACTGCCCCCCACCCCCAGCATGCAGCCAGGATAGATTTCACAGCCACTAGCACAGGTAGGTCTAGAGGGTTCCAAGTTACCAGAATTCGCCTCAGAATGGCCACAAGGGCCATCACCCACCTGGGATGGAGATTTGCATTTCCTTTTTAAAAAAAAAATTTTTTTTTTAACGTTTATTTATCTTTGAGAGACAGAGAGTGAAAGAGCATGAGCAGGGGAGAGGCAGACACAGAATCTGAAACAGGCTCCAGCCTTTCAGCTGTCAGCACAGAGTCCGACGCGGGGCTCGAACCCACAAACTGTGAGATCATGACCTGAGCCAAAGTCGGACGCTTAACCGACTGAGCCACCCGGGCGCCCCAGAGATTTGCATTTCCTACTCTTTCCTTCCCAAACCAGGACAGAGGAGTGCCAAAGGGGGCACGGGTTCTGAGTCGCCCACACCAACAGGCAACAAAACTTCAGCGTCGCACGAGGAAACCAAGGCGGGGCCTTTACATGTTAAGTGCAGACGTCAGGAATCTGACCTCTGAAAAAATACTGACTTCAGTATTTCTCGAGGAGGCCATCGCTCTTCGTAGAGATGGAAGTGTATAATTTTAAGGAGGATTTTTTTTCTAACGGGGTAAATACTTCTCCAACCCCACTTACAAGCTTAATAACAGCACCCAGTGGGGAGGCGACACTCATTTCTTGGAACCAGCCCACTGGGGAGAACGCAGAAGCGCCCGAGACTGGCCCTGGGGTCGCTGGCGCCATCTGCTGGCCGCATCGAAACAGACCTCGGAGATCCCAACACGGCCCAGCGTGTGACTTCCGTGCCTGTAGGGCCCCAGGAAAAGCGTGAGACTTCCCACGGGCGTCATCCCACCTGGAAGTTACCGCAGGAGCAGCGAGAACCTGAACACTCACGTGGGCCGGCCAGCCACGAAAACAGTCTGCAGGCCCTAACTGAATACCCAACCCCAGGCTTTGCGAATGCTGCCTTTACCATCTCTCCCATTATACAGATGAGGTCACTAGGGCTCAGAGAGGTGGAGATCACACACTGAGGGGCCTGCGCTGGGAGCTGTGGGCAGGCAGTCTATGATCTGAACCACGTACAACGTTATACGGATATTTCAAATGTCAGGTTTTGATCGATTGATAGTCCCTCTCCCATTTGGGCGGAAATGCGAGGAAGCCATTATGATCGGTACTCATGGCGGGTACTGCTTGAAGCTACTGAACCTCAAGAACCTGTCCTGAACCTGAGACGTAACGGGGAGAATAATCCCAGTCCAGGATACGATGAACACATAGAACGTGTGTGTGTAGACACGTACACACACGTGATGGCAGTACAATGTTACACGGGATAATACTCGCCATTACTGTGAGCGACACAGTGGAATATAGAAAATAAGTGGATTTTAAAGCGGCTCCATTACAAAAACACTAGTACCAGTAACTACAGTCACTTCACAGCCTATGAATGGATGTTTAGTTTGGAAAATGCTGGCTGACATGTTCCCTAATGTGTTTGGCTCATTTCTCACAGAACCTCTCCTTCAAAGGAAAATCAAATTTGGGGGCCCCTGGGTGGCTCAGTCCATTAAGCGTCTGATTTCAGCTCAGGTCATGATCTCATGGTTTGTGAGTTCGAGTCCCAGGTCGGGCTCTGTGCTGACAGCTTGGAGCCTGGAGCTGCTTCGGATTCTGCGTCTCCCTCTCTCTCTGCCCCTCCCCTGCTCGTGCTCGGTCTTTCTCTCTCAAAAATAAACGAACACAAAAAGTTAAAAAAAAAAGAATTTTCCAGTGTGGCATTTTGTTCCTTGAAGATGACTTTATGTGTACGTTTTACCTTCCGTTGTATTATTTCATGGCTCGTTTTTACTGCTTTGTTTTCATTGTATAAATTTTTATGGTTACCTTTTACTTTGGGCAAAAGATAATCGTTTACCATACACTTCCTTTCCTTCTTGAAGTTGACGGCAGTGACGAATCTTGCAAGGTAACCATGTTTTTCAAAAGCGGATCAATGTAAAGGACAATAAGTAAAACACAGTGGAAGTGGGGTGTGCCCGGGACACTGCATGACAACCGGCCCCTTCATACGACCAGGCACCGGAGGGGCTGGTGACAGACAAAGGTGACAGACGAGGCCACCCCTAACACAGGCTGGGCAGGCAGGGGTCAGGAGTCCCCCTGACTGCAGAGGGCTCTGGGAAGGCTCGCAAGACACAAAAGCACCACATTTGCTGGCCACTTCTGTGTCTGTGCCCCCAGGACAGGGGGTCAGACCGGACGTGGCGGAGCAGGGGTGCGACCCTCCTGTGCCAGCACCACCCCGCCCCTGACCTCCGGCTCCTCTCCTGCAAGGTCTCGCCGCCAAGTGCGGGGTCACGTGCAGAGAGGAGAAAAGGCCCAGCGAGACCGGAGGGCAATGACGTGAAAGCAACGTGCGAACTTGAGCATCTAGGCGGTCGGTCTGCGCCCGCCGGGAAGCTCCTCCGCCTCCGCGTGGGGCCGGTCAGCACACGATGCTGGAAAGCATTAAGTAGACGAGACAACGGGCCTCCACGAGGCTTACATTCTCCTCTCAACGAAAGCAGGGCCTCTGGTTTTAACCGCGTGCAAATGTCTCATGGTGTGGGGACTTGACGCTTGTTATGACGGTCACGGTGCACACGTGCGGCTTTCTAACTAGAAGACCCCATCAAGTTTCCGAGTACCCACTGCACGCATCGCACGGTCCGGGTGCCGGCACAGATGAGGTCTAAGATGCAGAGTTTCTCAAAGACTCCGTGTGCCTTTTAGGAAACATGAAAACAAGTACCCTAAGAAGTCCAGTGACTCAGCACTTATTTCCTGGTTCATTGGCAAAAGCACAGCAGGCTTTGAAGCTCTAGGTTCTGGGCAGGCGGACAAAGAGCTGGGGCCCTGTCTACCAGGGCTCTTGTCTCCGTGGGCACCACGGGCTCTCTCTCTCCCGGCTTCTGGCACCACAGAGCAATTTCAGTAAATGGTCTTTGGCAAATGTTTTCAGTTTGCCAGTAACCAAAACGAGCTGTCCCCTTGGTCTTGCGGCAAAGCCCGGTCTTGGAAAAGAATGCTCTGCGAAGCTCCTGATTTAGACCCACTATTTCAAGGTCATTTTCAACCATCGCCCGTCACTGGCTTATACAGAGAATGAGGAAACTTCGGGTAAATGAACACTGCTAAATCTTGGCCCCCCCCCCCCCCGCCCACCATGAAGGCGGGCCACCGAGATCACACCACACTCGGCATAGCAGCTGCCTGCTGTCCCCGCCATGTGCAGATCACAAGGCCCCACAGCTGATTCATGCAGCAAGAGACATGAGGTGGAATTAACTTGAAAACTCAGACTTTTCCCCCTTCGCACCTGCCTTTCTCTCCCCCCAAAATACATCTTTCATGCAGAGACAGAGCTGAAGAATTAAAGGGCCTGAATTTACTTGGGATCCGACTACCAAAGAATTTGAACCACCGAGTGCAGGCGATCTCTTTCAGTAAAAAATTTTATTTTCCTTGCTTTTTAGGAGTAGGCAAACAAGCGTTACAAGATCATCAAGCCAGATTTCCAAACTTCAGCAAGTCAGCTTAGATCCCAGCCCCAAACAGTAACGCGTGAGAAGCATCTGGGATCACAGGGGAGAAACACAACCACGGACTCAAAAGTCAAACGTCGAAGTTGAATTTCACTCAGATACTTACCAACTAAGAATTTTCAATTATGAGAAATTAGAAAAGGAAAGCAAGGCCGGGAACCCCCAGTCACTGGGCGCGATCCAGAGCACGTGTCCTGCAGGCAGCTCGGACCCCGAGCTGAGGGCCACACAAACGTCCCCCACTGGGTCTGGCGCTCAGCACACGGACGGGCCGTCCCGGCCACCAGGCGGTGCGCCCGCAGAGCCCAACAACACAGGGATGTCACAGACGGGACGCAGGAAGCCTGCGCTCGGACAGGCAGCCGCTGGGCCTGCGCACGGCGGACAACAGTCACGGCCCGGGGTCCCCGCCCTCCTCAGCGAGGCTGCTGCTCCCCCGACGGCGTCTCACGTCACACATCAAAACCCACGGTCGTGCTGGACGGAGGAGCCCCCGAGGGCTGAGGGGCAGAGCGGGGGGCAGAGAGACAAAGGGAGCTCAGGAGGCAATGTTCAAAATACTTTATTACAAAATGCAGCACAGCGTCCTCAGAATGTTCCCCAATGTTCTCCACCAAAGACGGGGCTGAACGAAGCGCTGCAGATGCCCGGCCGCCACCGGCAGGAACCTCACTTCCAGGGCCAGCAGAGGCCGGCGGCGGGGCTCCTGCCTGCCCAACGACGATCGTTTTCTCCAGGGGCTCAAATCCACATCGTGGCTGACAAGCTACCAAAAACTGGGACCCAAATTCGTATGAAGACGAGGCGCAGCGGAGAGAGCACAGCTCCCGACAGCCCAGGGGCCTCGGCCTCTACTTCTTATTCCTGGGCTTTAGCTCCTCGGCTGCATTACGCAGGAAAATGTAATTCTTCTTTTGAGGATTATAAAATTCATGTCCCTAAAGAGGAAAAAACACAACAATCTTATTATTAAAGAGCAAAAGTTAGCATTTTGCAGGCACTTGGCACCGTCAAGCCCCGTGCCGCGCATCGAACAGACTCTCTGGGGGACCAAAACAGGTTTCTGGAGAAAGAAGCAAACGTTAAACAGAAACTGGTTTCGGAGGAAAGGTCAAGGGCGTGGTGGGATCAGTCTTCAGTGTCCCATTGGGACAGATGGTCTTTGATGCACCGTTCAGCGGAGATGCTTCCACCCGCCCCCACTGCAAAGCCCGGAGGACTGCCTGTGGGAGGAGCAAGGCCTTCCGGGACAATGGGGGAGGGCTGCTCTGACTCGAGGCCGCCAAGCATAAGGCACAGCTGCTGCTCTGGGGCTTCCCGGGCATGAGGGCAGGGCCGGGCCGGTCCTCCCCACACAGAGCCACACAGACGCGGAGGGCCGTGTCGTGGTCGCTGTGCCTGCTCGTGCCCGTGGTGAGGCGGAAGGAGATCAGTACAACTCTGGGACCAGAAAATTCGGGCCCAGGCTGGACTGTGAAGGGCTGGGAAGGGCAGACTGGGGGCTGTGAACATTATCCCACACGGAAAAGGAACAGTGGCCACCAAAGTCTCACTTAAGTGGCACCAGGAGGAGAGGGGGCGCCTGGGTGGCTCAGTCGGGTGAGCATCGACTCTTGGTTTTGGCTCAGGTCGTGATCTCATGGTTCATGAGTTCGAGCCCCGCATCGGGCTCTGTGCTGACAGCAAAGGCTGCCTGGGATCTCGTCTCCCTCTCTGCCCGTCCCCTGCTTGCTCGCGCTCCCAAAAACATAAATTTAAGGAAAAAAAAAAAAAGAGAGACAGGACAGACCTGTTTCAGGGAGGTGGGGGGGGACAGGGAGCAAGGCAGAGGCAGCACCTCCGGCGACCAGTGGAGCAGTAACAGGGAGGCGGGAAGGGACCTGGCTGCCCCCTGCCTCCCCCACGATGACGGGTTTTAGGCTCATCCCTGGGCAGATGTGCTAATAAGGGTCTAGAAGTTTCGCTCAGTGGTGACACAGGCTCTCATCGTAGCACACAAGGCACAGCTGCTCTGGCCAGGGGGACACCGGGCAGTAGGCCGAGGGGTTAGTACCGCGTGGTCAGGGTCTCACTCCAGGGACAACGGTCCTTAACGCAGAAACAGGGTGGCGTTCCCAAAGCAGCTCTTTCTACACGAGGGTGAGGACTTCACGGCTTCCGCGACGAGCTGCCTTGGACACTTCAGGTGACGCACCAAAAACAGCTGTCGCAGTGGTGACCCACCCGCCACCTCTGACCACCGTTTCCAAGCCTGCAACACACGGAGCCCTGAGCGAGACGTGGGCTGACCCGGCTCTGAGGTGGCCGCGGGCGGAGCACGTGGAGGGGGACCCATGGAAGAGCCCTGGGGAGAAACCGAGGCCTCAGGCCACAACCTGGCTCCGGCCCGGCCCCAGCAGAACCAGAAGCGCACGCTTTGCAAAGCAGAGCGTGTGGCTCCCACAGTGAACAGACACGTGGTGGCACATCTGTGCCACAGGCTGCCACGCAGTGGAAAGGACGGACCAGATATGCTCTGGGCCGTGGGTTCTCCCCACAATCATGTCACCAGGTGAAAGATGCCCGGCAAAAAGGAGCGTGTGGTGTAGGACTCGTTTTACATAGAATTCTAGAACATGCAAACTCATCTATAAAGACAGAAAGCAGATCAACGGTGGTGTTGGTGGGGGAAGGATTACAGCAACACACATGGAAACTTCTGGGGGAGATAAAAGTGTTCTCTCGCCTGGGGTGATAGTTTCAGAGACACATGTACAGATGCTGAAACCGATCACTCCGCACAACGACCACATTTCAGGGCCCCCTCCGTTCGGCTGCCCGAGAAAGCAGGGTGCAGCTGCACACCCGCGTCAGCCGACACTCAGCCACGGAGGCCACACGGGCAGGGGCCGGGGCGCCTGGGTGACTCGGCCTGTTAAGTGTCCGACTCTTGATTTCAGCTCAGGTCACGATCGCATGGTTTGCTCGATCAAGCCCTGCATCGGGCTCCATGCAGACAGGGCAGTGCCCGCCTGGGATTCTCTCCCTCCCTCATGCTCTCCCCTTCTCAAAATAAATTAAGCTTAAAAATTAAAAGTTAAAATTAAAAATTAAAGAAAACAGTAACGTGCTGAACAGGCAGGGTGACCACAGGGAGAGCAGCCAGAGACAACGTCCGGCTCTTCTGAGAAAGAGAATCAAAGGTGAGACGAGACCTGTTTCTCCAGGGGGCGACGGTAAGCGACTCGGCAGGGACGCGGGGGCGACGGAGGCCTGGAGGATGGAGGACAAGCACGTGGGAGTCGGCGGGACTTCTCTCTCCAGGTGAGGGGCCCCTGGGGCACCAGGTGCGCGCACGCTGTGGGGACCAGGATCCGGAGGAGCTCAGGAACCAAGCCAGAACCGAGGGGCTGCTGGCGGCGGCTGGAGAGCCCCACCCAGAACCAGTCAGGCTTCGGGCGGACGGGGAAGGGCGGCGCCCAGGGCGCGGCCGAAACAGCGGGAGCAGGCGGGCGCTCCCCCCTCCCGACAGGCCCCGCGGTCAAGGGAAACGAGGTTTCTCAGCGAACCTCAGCGAGCTCTGGCCCAAGGCTGGAGCGTGCGCTTCCCAGCGGAGGACCAGGAGGCGGCGGGGACGGAGAGAAGACGCCCAGAGGGGGAGACGGGTGGCGTGAAGGGGTCCCGTGCGTGTCTGCGGTGGGAGGCGGTGGAAGCAGACGGGCCAGGAAGACACGCGCGTGTGCCGACGAGTGGGAAGCCATGGTGGAAAGGCGGCTGCGGAGAGGGGGGCAGAGTGGGGCGGGGCGGGGGGCGTGCAGACGAGAAAGACGAAGGATCAAACAGTCCAGGAGAAGCAGCAGCCCAGGAGCACGCACGGGGCTGGCCGAGCGAGAGCAGGCGTCCGCCAGCAGCCCGGGGCTCGAGCACCCGAGACTGTCCCCCTCAGGGCTGCGCTGGGACGCCTCGAAAATGCATCCAGGATCCAGTCAGCCCCTAACTCGCCTCCCCAAATAATACGCAAAAAAGCAACACCTCCAGCGAAAGCCCGGCGACCTGGCCCCGCGGCCCCTGCCCTGCTCTGCCCTCCTCCCTGGCAACCACCCAGGCCTCACTGAAGGACGTGCACCCACCCCGACGACGCCCGGGTGGCCCTGGGCTCACCTCTGCTTCTGGGCTCATGATGACCAGACCGTCCCCAGGGGCAGGTCCCCAGGGAAAGGCTCTTTAGGTGCGACCTCACTGAGGCCCTGTACCTCGCGAGCATGGCCTGCTATTTCCCTCGGAAGTGACAGGACGGTGACCTGCCAAGGTCACCAGTGAGTCCGGAGAAGAGTCACAACTCGAGGCCAGGCCTGCGGGCCCTCACCTTGGACCAGTCGTAGCTGGAGGCGTAGGCGAATATGTTCCCGTTGTGGTTGAAGCAGCAGGCCGCTATCGGCTGGTCCAGCTGCTCCGAGGTTTTCAGTTTCGTTCTGGCGTCTTTGTCCCAAAAGCTGAATCTGCCATCAGATCCCACGGTGGCGAGGGTGCCGTGAACAGGGTGGAAGGCGATGCCGTTGACCTGCAGGGAGCGACACGCACAGTGAGAGGTGGACAGCGCAGGCGTGGTCTGGCCTTTGCCAGGACGTGCTTCGTGCCGCGGGAAGACAAAGCATCCAGACCGTCACTTCCCGGGAGCCGGCTGCCCGCGCATCTCAGGAGAAACCAGCCAAGCTTCCAGAATCAACTGCCAGCCCAGGGCTGCACCACGTCTCCCGTTAGGAACACGAGTCAGCAAACATGAACACATTTGCAGCCAGGGGCGCCGCAGAGTGGACCCCAGGAGCAGCGCCCGAGGGGGCGGAAGCCGAGGGCCCGACGTGCACCCAGAAGCCGCAGGCAGAAGCACAGAGAGTCAGGGTGTCATAAAAACAGAAACCTGGGCCCTACGGCGTAAGCCACCATCTCTGCCTGTGAACTTGCACACAAAGTGCTCTTTCCTGCCCCCAGAATGACTCAGCCACCCACCTCTAAGTCTAGTTTCTAGACAGGTTCTCAAGGTTAAAGTTTCTAAAAACATACCGCGTAGATGTCCTGAGGCGCTGAGGTATTGGTTCCGTTCGAGCGGTGACATTTGAAGGTGAAGTTGTCTTTGGCGCTGAAAGGCAAAGGCCTAACTGAGCTTTCCTGTCTGGAAAGTCTCAGGTGAAAACTCACAAGCGAACTGAGCCCACTTACGGGTTTGGGGGGTTGATGTAGTGAATGGCAACCCTTCCCTCAATGCTTCCCAGAGCGAAACCAGTCGGCTTGTTCTGTTTATCTTTGAAAATCGCCACACATCGATGCTACCATTTGGAGAAAGGAAAACAGCGCGTTACCACAATGTAAAAGGTAAGACTTCATAACGAGGTGAAGGTAAATAATTTTCACCCTATTTCTGGGTTACAGAAGAACCAGAAACACAGTACGCAAACACGATACAGAAGTGATTTCTCGCCCTCTGGTAAACATTACCGTCCACCTTTCGGGAAACGACTTGTACTTTGTGAACAAACTGCAGACCGTGTGCTTTGGTCAGTGAGGCTCAGCCTCTGGTGCCAGAAAGGCCTGTCGCTCCCACAGCGTGGTGACCCTCGGGGCCCCCACGTCCTATTCTGGTGCCGCCCCGTCATGGCGGCGGGGGGGGGGGGCACTCGTCTCTCTCAAGGCCCACCACTAACTAGGGCGGCCACTGGCCCAAGGCTTTGATGCCTCTGCCTTCGCGGATGGAAAAGGGAAATGGTGTCCCCCCCCGCCGCCCCCGGCGACCGCAGGGACAGAGGATGTGACCGGCACTTTCTAAATTGTGACCACACTTCACAGAAGCAACACGCCGCACCCGACCTAACGCGGGTCTGGGGACCCAAAGAAGGGGTTCCCTGGACTCTACGGCAGAGGCCCCCCCCCCCCAAGAGCCCAGGATCAGCCTCCAGGGGCAGAGGAGCAGGGCCTGGGTCTTCACTTCCTCTGTCTATACTTCCTTTTACATGTTTTACTCAACTATCTTGAGAGAGAGCGTGTATGCGAGCAGGGGCGGCAGCGGGGAGGGGGAAGACAGAGAGAGAGAGAGAGAGAGAACGAGGGGGAGAGAATCCCAAGCAGGATTTGCACCGTCAGCACCGAGTCTGACGCGGGGCTCTGTCTCACCAACCATGAGATGACCTGAGCTGATGCTCAACTGACGGGACCACCTGGCCGCCCCCCGAGACCGACCCACCCACCCACTAGACGTTGCATCTTCCGTGAGGAGTTCAGGAGGCGCAAGGGCTGCATCAGAGCCTGGGATGAAGCCACAGAGGAGTGAAGGTGAAGAGCGGTTTCTGTTACTGGGACGCCTGCCAGAGCACACGGATTTCCCAAGTAAACCGAAGAGTGTGTGCTGGTTCTATTTCTGTACCGTTTGCCTTTTTTTTGAACAAAAAGCCCATTACTTCTGCCAGCAGAAAAAAGATGAACGGAGAGAGACGAGAGTCTGTGAGTTCCCAGAGGCGGGCAGGCGGTGCCTCGGGCGCTCAGCTCGGGAGCAGGAGCCGCACGCCTCTAGGGGGCTCCACCGACCAGAACACACCCACGCGGCGGCTGGGGCAAGAGCTGCCCGCCTGCCTCAGCAAGTGAGAGGCCCAGGTGCCTGGGAGGCAGGAAGTGAAGCCGGGTCAGACTAGGTCTGGTCAGGAGCCGGGGACTGATCCAAAAGGAAATGAGGAGCCACCACTCTTTTCAGCAGGTCCGGCAAAGTGAGATGCGCTGTTGTAAGAGCGAGCCCCCCAGCCCCCCTCGGAGAGACGGAAGGAGGGCACACGCAGAACCCCTTCCGTCACTCAAGGAGACTTGGATTAGATGTGGTGGGAGAGAAGGAACAAAATGAACAGATGCCCAAACACCTGCACGGCCGAAGTGAACCCGGAGATGAGAGAGACAGGCAGGAAGGGGGGGCAGATCAAGGACGGCCTCCAGATCTGCAGCAGAGGCAGCAGCAGTGGATCTCACGGGATGCGGGGCACACGGGGAGGAGCAGGAGGGGGGCGGGAGCAGGGCAAGGTCAGGTTTCCGCTCAGCAAACACCTACAGAAGCCCTCCACACGCCAGGCCCGGCGTTGGCTGGGAAAGACGCAGCCACAAAGAGAAACCTTGGCTCTTGCCGAGTTTACGTTCCAGCGGGCAACACGAGACAAGATACGTAAAACGTATTATGTGTTTATCCGTGAGGCATATGCGCGCGCACACGTAACTTTGGGAAAATACCAGGGAGAAGCCTGAGGAGGGGTAACCTCGAAATACGGACCTGCAGACACCGGTCCCGGGTTTGGCGCGGGCTGGGACACGGGGCTGGGACACGGGGCTGGGACACGGGGCTGAGACACTGGGAGACACGCAAAGGAGCTGTCAGACCATGGGAGTCCCCGAGGGGCCCCGGAGCCGAGGTCTGTCGGGGATCTGGGTCCCCAGCCCACAAGGTTTACCTAAGTGACAGCAGGGACGGGAGAGGAGGGTCCTGCTTCAGGAGAGAAGGCAGCGCGACCAAGGGCACACACCGGGGAACCCAGCATGCGGCAAGAGGCGAGGTAGCCGAAGTAGCAACCGCGTGGCAGGTGTGAGGCGGGCATCGCAGGGACCAGGGATGGGACCCTGGAGACCACGTAAGGACAGTGGTGACTCCTGCTCAGCGGGGGGATCGGCTGGTCCGCGTGCACTGGAACCCCTGGTGAGGAAGAGCCATCGGTGGCCAAGCCAAAAGCGGTTTCAGCAGAGTCATGGGGGCAGAAGTCTCAAGGGAGCCGGGTGAGGAATGAGTGGGAGGGAAGAGGGCGCATGTGAGACGCTGAGCTGCAAAGGAAAAAGGGGTCCGAGTGGTACTGAAGATGTGGGGCTACTGCTGGTTTTCTCGGGCAAAGGAGCCTGGAGCATGAGTCCGGGCCGGACGTGACATCAGGGGGGGCGGGAGTCCGAACCCCCCCCCCCGCCCGCTGAAGAGGTGCGGACCCCCCCACAGTAGGCCTGCACAGAGCGCACCGCTCACCTGCCTGGCGGGAGAAAGGCCGGGAGCGGTGCGGGTGCAGGCAGACTTCTAGACTCGGTGGGAGGAAGAGAAGTTCCCCACCACTGGCTTTACGCTCCCTGAGTAGGAGCACGTGCAGAGACAAAGGTTGGGGAGGGAGAGCCTAGGGGTTCGACGAGCGAGAAAAATCTGCGTCTGAGGCAGGTGAGCTGAAGAGAAAAGCCCGGTAACGGGGCATGATGAATGCACAGCAGGGGCCGGAAGCTACGTGCACGGTGGAGTCCCTCTCGTTCCGTAGGGTCCCGCTCCCCAGGGCGCGTCTGGAGAGGACAGAGCAGTCGGGCTTGTCCAGGGACGGACAGTATTTACTCACTAAATACTTGCTTGTATCCTGAGTTTCACCCCCTCTGAAACTACTTCTAGGGGCACCTGCGGGGCTCGGTTGATTGTGCATCCGACTCATGATCTCGGCTCACGTCACGATCTCACGGTTTGTGAGCTCCAGCCCTGCGCTGGGGTCTGTGTTGACAGATCCTGCCTGGGATTCCCTCCCTCCCACCCTCCCTCCCTCTTCCCACCCCTCCTCTGCTCACGGTCGCTCTCTCTCAAAATAAAAAACTTTAAAGAAACAAACTACAAGAAGAAGCTGCGTATAGATGTCTGGAAGTTCAACCGGGCCCAGCCGTGGGCCATAAGGCGTGTGCGGCACGTGCTCACGAGCGCATGCGTCCTGGCCGCGCAACTCACCTGGTGCTTCAGCGGGGATTCGATCCTCCTGAACTCAGAAGGCTGATTCTCTAACTGGTAGACAATCAGTCCCCTCTCCGCAGTCGCCACCACGGCCATAGGGTAGATCTAGGGAACGGAGGGAAGGGCCGTGCTTGAAACGAAGGACTATGGCTTTTTTTTCTTTTACACCAAACTATCAGATCAAATTTCTTTTAGAGCCAAAAAAGTCAGTCTAGATTCTTTTTTAATTTAAAAAAACCACCGGTATAGACATGTTTCGTGAAAATCTAGAGCAACCATATCTGAAAGCACAACGTCCGTTTTTAAGAGGCTCGTGTTTTAAAACCGTAAGATATGATAATTTGGAAACTACACTGAGGAACAGGGAAGAAACGAAAGGCGCCTACCCCCTTCACACGACAGCTGTCGTTACCACCGGTGCCCCCGCCGGTGCTTCCCCGGGCGCGCGCACGCACAGGCGCGTCGGGCGCTCATACGTAAGCTGTGCCCTCGCTCAGGGTGTGTGCTCCGGGAGGGCGCGTGCTGACCGGACAGCACCCCTCCCACGCCCACCAGGCTCAGCTAACCTGCCGGCCTTGCTGGCGCACCAGCTCACACCCAGGCTCCGTCTTGCTCTACAGAACCAGAGCCATCTGCGACTTCACTTTTCTCACCGTGAACTCCTAACAGCGCGATTACTGGTAGTTGGCACAAAACTTTAAGACTTATAACCAAAGGGACAGAGAAAAGGTTCTTCAGTTTCCTTTCCACTCACAGTCCCCATGGACCTGGTGCCACCTGCAAAGTCGCTGCCAGTTTTCCTACAGCCGCCAAAACACATTACATACTGATGACACATGGCTTCCTGCACACGTTCAATTAACAAGTGGCAAGAAACCCCACCAGCCAGCATGCCGTAATTCTGGGACCAATGCAAAATAAAAACCTCCTGATTTAAGACGACAGGCGATCAGAGCTACATCCTCTGTGCACTTATAAAGTCTGACAGGTTTTTAGATGACTCTCTAGTTGCAAGAGGTCATAGCATTTTCTGTTTCTCTTGAAAGAATAGAGTAACTTATATCAAGTCGGAAATTCCTCACCACGTCAGCACAGTAACATCTTTCAGGGAGCTGCAAAACCATCATAGGATTGGATGATCGTGTGTCCCAAAACTAGACGCAAAACAAAAACAAAAACCAGTAAGCGACCCTTCAGAGCTTTAGTCCAAGTAGCTTAAGAACAAAAGTCCCTCCTGGTCAGGCCATGCCCTCCCCCTCAAGGCGTGTCATACCTTCAAAGTCTTATCCCAACTCCCAGTCATCACGCAGCTGTAGTTTGGTGCTTTGATCCAATGGATGGTTTTAACAGGAGCATCGTGCTTTCAAGAAGAGAAGTCAAAACAGATCAAGACAAGTGTAACTATGTGCTAAATAGCTTCAGTTCTGGAAATCCAGAGTGAACTTGAATATTGAGGTCACCCCAAACAAACACCAAAGGATATCCACGCCTCTCCCATGAGCGGACCATCCGATTTAACTGAAGGATATCTAACTACTTACATTCTGGTAAGGGTGAAGTTATTCTACCTATGATTAGCTAGCGTGTGAGACTAAAAGCAAGGCCTTTCCGAGGGAGGAGTTCGGAGCTGACTGGGAGGAGTTCCACCAGCCTTATTTACTGACTAAGGGCTGAGAGTTAAGAGACGGAGGACACGCTTCTGGCACAGCCACACAGCCGGGACCTCGGAGAGCACGGGGCCTTCTCTGAAAACATTTCCATGTCGGGGGCCTGGGGGGCTCAGTCGGTTAAGTGTCCGACTTTGGCTCAGGTCATGATCTCATGGTTCGTGGGTTCGAGTCCCGCATCAGGCTCTGTGCTGACAGCTCAGAGCCTAGAGCCTGCTTCGGACTCTGTGTCTCCCTCTCTGACCCTCCCCTGCTCATGCTCTGTCTCTCTCTCTCTCTCTCAGAAACAAATAAAACGTTAAAAAAAAAAAAAAAAGAAAAGGAAAGAAAATATCTCCGTATCAAGAGGCCCTTCTCGACAGGTCAGGCCCCCTGGTTCCTGGCTCTCTTCCCTTCGTTACTTCTGCCTTCACAGTCTTTCCACGGAGCGTGCCGCTGTTCCCAAGCAGGCTCACAGCGCCACAGGCGCATGGGTGCCCCTCTTACTCACCGCTGGGTCTCTACCCCAACCCAAAGTGCCCAGCATACAGCAGGCACTCAATAAATACTTGTCCAATGAGAGAATGTCCAAATACAGCAGGTAAAAGGCAAGCCACACACGGGTGCGGGAACGTCAACCCCGTGGGTGTTGGGGCCGTGTGCACCAGCCTTCTGCAGGCCGGCTGAGGACCTGGGCGATCTGTACTCTGTTACCTGGGCAATCTGTATTGCCTGATTACTGTTGAGGTCCCACATTTTGGCAGTTTTATCGCACGATGCTGTAAATACTTTGCTCCCATCCTGAAAGAAAATTGAGAAAATTTGTCATTCTAAAAAAAAAAAAAAAAAAAATGAAACTTCTGTCTGTATATTAGGTTGATCATATAGAGGCAAGTTTTGTTTTGCAATATTTCTTTTTTTAAATTCTTTTTATTTTTTTAATGTTTATTTTTGAGAGACAGAGCATGAGCAGGGGGGCAGAGAGGGAAGGAGACACAGAACCTGAAACAGGCTCCAGGCTCTGAGCTGTCAGCATAGAGCCCAACGTGGGGCTTGAACTCATGAACCATGAGTTTTAAAAGTATTCAAATACAGGGGCACCTGGGCCGGTTAAGTGTCCGACTTCGGCTCAGGTCAGGATCTCACTGTTCCTGAGTTTGTGCTGACAGCTCAGAGCCTGGAGCCTGCTTCAGATTCTGTGTCTCCCTCTCTCTCTGCCCCTCCCCCACTCATGCTCTGTCTCAAGAAATAAACAAACGTTTAAAAAAATTCAAATACAGAACTCATGAATTAGGTCCAATATAAAGAAGCACAAGATAATTTTAAAAAAAAAAAGTACTAAATGGAAAGTCCAGACCAGTGGTTGGCCGTTTTTTTATTCAAGGGCCATTTATTTAGTAAACATCTTAGTCCTCAGTGGCCTCCGTTGCAACTCCTTAAGTGTTGCACTTGAAGGCAGCCACACGCATTATGTAAACAAATGAGTGTGGCTGTGCTCCGATAAACTTTATTTACAGAAACAGGCAACGGGCCACACCGGGCCCATGGGCCATAGTCTGCTGACCAGTGACCTAGATTATTTCATTTCTGGTTCCAAAGCTCAAAGATTTACTGCCGTCCTTCCCTAGCAAGTTTCTTCCCATATAAAGTCACCAGCTCTGCAACTGAAAGAAAAGATAAAACCTGCCTCTCTGTTAGTGAAGACAGAGGGTCCATAAACCCTTAGAAGGTACCAACGTATGCAACTGTTCCCAACACTGAGTGACACGCTGGCCTCTCGACAGCCTTAGAAAAGGCCCATCCGACCAGCGGTGATCAGCACCACGGAGCGGCAGCTTGACGGACCCCAACGAGCTCGTAGATGGGAGGCTAATCTCCCCAAAGGCCAGGGCTGAGGGCAGCACTGGCCGGGGCTCTCCACCCAGCTGCTGTCCACGCCGCCTCGGTCACCAAGTAGAGATGTCCTCAGAGGGAGAAGAATCACCTTCACCGAGTTTGGTTTTGTGCCTCCACGGTCACTCGGGCTCCTCCATGTTTCTGTGCTGTGACCCACGCGCCGTCCCCTCCTGAAGGCTCTGCCCCGCCAGCCCCTCTCCCTTCCTGGAAGCCCATGAGGGAGGCCGTCAAGCACATGGGCCCTGTGGCCAGGAAGCTCTGGGTCTGGGCCTAGACTCAGCCATTCACGATGTTCCCTCGGGCAAGTGTGTCAACTGACACCATGCCAGTCGCTTTATGTGCATGTAATCTAGCATCACAAAGTCCTGCTACCCGGAATTCTATTTGTTTCTATAGGTCTGTCCTAAGAGACCAGAAATTCCATGAATATGGTATTTGCCTACCTGGCCTGCTTTATTTTCCACTATACCCCAGGGTGATAGCTTACTAGAGTGTGGTAATTATCTGCTGAATATTATCTGTCGTAATTACTATTATTACCTTCATTTTACAAATGAGGAAGCAGACAAGGAGATTAAGTAACTTGCCAAAGTCAAGGCACGGAAGAGTTAGAACCCAACTCTGAACCTAGGCCTGGACAACACAATGCTCAAAACACCAGAGGCATATGTGTAGTTCGTTTTTCTAACTCGTCTCCTCAGTGATGGCACCCCTCCCCAAATTTACAGGGCCTTCTGCGTTCCCCACATCCCAGCGCCAGTACCCCCGGCCCCTCTCAGAACCTCGCTCACTGCATGAGATCCCTTCGTTACGGTGCTAGATTCCTACATGAGATGATGCATGACTTAGAGAAAGGAAATAACGTGTCTTCATTTTTATAAAATCCCAAAAGCCACTCAATACATCTGGGCGACAGAACTCCTCTACCGGTTAATTCTACTTCTTATCCACTTCATAAGAAACTTTACATTCTGATCCACTATCCAATCAGGAATAATAGACACGTAAGATAAATCAAGTATTTTAAATCTACTCAAGTTGCTACTTTTCCATGTGTAAATTAAAGATAAGTTGTGGGGCGCCTGGGGTGGCTCAGTGGGTTAAGTGTCCGACGCTTGATTTCAGCTCAGGTCATGATCTCACGGTTCGTGAGTTCAAGCCTCATGTCAGGTTCTGTGCTGACACTGCACAGCCTGCCTGGGGTACTTTTCTGGGGAGAGCAAGCATGCACGTGAGCAGGGGAGGGGCAGAGAGGGGGCAGAGGATCCCAAGGGGGCTCCACGCTGACAGGCTGACGGCAGAGAGACCAACGCATGGCTTGAGCTCACGGGGCCCAAACTCATGAACCATGAGATCATGACCTGAGCTGAAGGTGGACACTAAACCGAAAGAGCCACTTAAGCACCTCCTGCCTGGAATTCTACCTCAATGCCCTTCCCCTGCACATGTGCTCACTCTCTCTTTCTCGCTCTCAAAATAAACTTAAAAAAAAAAAAAAAGTTGTATCTGTCATAAATTGTTTCCACAGATCTATTATTAGTCTCTCAATAACCCAACCAGATACACCAAGAAAACACTTTCCAGTGGCAACAAAGCTCCAAGAGGCCTCTCAGCTGACGACAGAGATGGGGGCCCCTCTGGCTCCTCAACCGTCTCGAGATATTTATAAATAGTAGACTCATTTCCCAGTTATAAATTAAATAGGATCTCATCGATGTATGGTGTAATTTAAAAATGACAACATAGGAGTAATGGGCAATTTCTCATAGTTAAACATATACTCCCCATACGACCCGATAATCCCATTATTGTTTACCCAAGAGAAATAAAACCTTTTGTTCACAGAAAGTCCAGGACGCAAGCGTTCACAGCAGCTTGATTCCTACGGACCAAAACGGGAAACGGCCCAAACAGCCCTCTCCTGGTGGCCGGGTGAGCTAACGGGGACCCGGCCACACAGTGGGACAAACTACTGGCCTGGCCACCTGCATGGGGCTCCATGGCGCACACGGAGTGAAGGGGCGCGGCGGTGCGGGGCTGTCAGCACGGCCTGCGCAGGCCGAGCCCCGGGCCCGAGAGCCACGGCAGCGGTTTGCAGGCGCTGGGATGGGGGGAGGACGCGCCCACACAAGGGTGGGGGGCGCGGGGGGGTCCTGGGGGCTGCCGTTCTGTTCATTCTACCACGACTCTCTGCGGGTCTCAAAAACTGACAAGGCTCTATGCTAAAAAGGTTCCGTTTCCTCGTCCGCAAATCATACGTGATGAACCTGACTACGCGAACGGCACAGAAGGCCCGGCCTCCCGAGTGCGGGGGCACATCTGGCCGCCCCGACAGTCAGGCCCTCGTCCTTGCCTCCGCTGGGCCCTCAGCAGCAGGGGTGGGACAGAGAAGCTGAGCTGTCAGAGCCCCGGCCCCTCCCCTCCCCAGGGGACGGCCCGCTCCACCACACCCCCCTTCCCTTCTCTGCTGGACCTTGTGAAAGATCCGTTTAAAGCCCAAGGCAGCAGCTCAGAGCCAAATACACTTGAACATGTTGGTTTATGTGACTGATGTTCAGGATTTAGGAGGAAAAAGAGAATTCAAAAACTCTAAAAAAAAAAAAAAAAAAAAAAAAAACTTCAAATGTTTGTTAATAAAAAACGATTGCTTTTTCCTCTAGGATTTATCTTCAAACAACATTTATGGCATGAAGGCAGGAAAGGTTTCCAGAAATTATTTAATCCTTTGCTCAAGATAACGTCAATAAAATGATAAAGGTTTTAAATTTTTTTTAATGTTTATTTACCTTTGAGAGAAATAAAGAAACACAGTGCAAACAGTGGTGGGGCAGAGAGAGGGAGACACAGAATCTGAAACAGGCTCCAGGCTCCTAGCCGTCAGCACAGAGCCCGACACGGGGCTTGAACCCACAAACCATGAGATCATGACCTGAGCCAAAGTTAGATACTTAACTGACTGAGCCCCCCAGGCGCTCCTAAAATAATGAGGTTTTTATGCAAGAAGAGCTTTCAGGTTAACTAAAGCTAACGTTAACTACCTCAGGAACATCAAAACGTACTACACTTACATTCAGCAACTCAGAATTTCCAACAATGTGTATACATACGTGCTGTTTGTGGTTCTTGTTATATAAAAGTTAGAACACTAACTCGTGATTTTATGTTGCAGAAAACACGAAAACTTGAATGAGACTCACATCGCTCCAGCAGACATCAAGCACAGGCCCCGTGTGCATCTGCTGGGCTTTCGGAATCGTCTGTCCGCTATCTTGAACTTCCCAGCAGCGAACCTGCAGCATATGACAAGTTAGTGCAAATGGATCCACAACGCACCGCATGCAGTTAGCACCTGGTGACCGATGGGTGCAACGCAAACACACAGAAACTTCTGTCGACTGAGATGCGGGATTTCTCGCAGGTCCTGCCATCACCCTCAGAGACCCGCAGCAACGTACAGACTTCACAGCAGCACGTGGAAGGTTTCAGCTTATCTCTGCTGGGATCAAGCGTTATCCTTTTACACTTTTTGTTTCTGTTACCTTGATAGAGGCTATCACGCAAGTCTGAATTTTATCTGCTTAGGAGTGTGGCTGAATGGTTCAAGTTCACACTAAGGGCCACTGGCACTCCTTCTGTGAAGTGCCTCTTCACATACTTTGCTTATTTTTCTACCAGAGTTTTTCTTTTTCTTTTTACACACTATGAATTGTTTTTCTTTCTTTCTGTACACCATAGGTTAAGTTTAACAGCTACCCAGGATCTGTACTTGATCTGAAGTTAAACAAGCTTAACACATGCCTTCAGAACATTTTCAGGATACCTGGCGGAAAAAATTATGAATACTACCCTGGATAACAGTCATTCTCAATGATAACTACATTGATCTGGGAATCCGTGTCAAGTTACTGATAAGATAGGAATTTTTTTTAAGGTTTCATCTATTTATTTATTTACTTATTTATTTATTTAAAGTAATCTCTGCACTCAACGCGGGGCTGGAACTCACAACCCTGAGATCAAGAGCCGCGTGTTTCACCGACTGAGCCAGCCACGCCGCCCCAGAGTAGGAATTTTTAAATGACGCATATGATCATACTTTCTTACAGAAATCAGTGTTAACAAATGAGGTCTGCCCACTCAGGAGGGCCACACCCTCTAACCAATTTCTTTAGAAAGACCATGAGTAAGCCTTACCTCTACCTCATTCGCTTGGGAAAGAATGGAGCCAAAAGGAAAGCTAACCTTGCCCTTACAAAGAGTGAGAGGACTTGAACATGCACGTAAGAAACACTTACATCATTAGCCCACGATCCTGCAATAAGAAAGTTCCCGGGCAAGGTTGGTGGGCTAAAAGATAGACAACCAATGCTATCGTCTGGAGAGGATGTTACTTCAATATCCTGGGGGAGGAAAAAGTCAACGTTACAATGTATGCATCATCAATTTCATTCAAAATTGTTTTCTTTCTCACTAAACACTCAGGGTAGACTTGTCTCGTGTTTAAGAACTACATGAACCGGACCTCTCTTACTTTGATCCAAAAGAGGAAGCCAGTGGAAGGGCCGGCGGCGACGGACCAGACCCAGCACTCTCAATGAAATGCCCATAATGAGATTTTCCAAGCGACAGCCCACTGGTTCACTCTGGCCTCCAAGTGCTTGATCAAAGTCATCGCCGGCCCCTACCCCAGAGGAAATTCTAACTCAGCAGTCGTGGGCTGGGCCCTGGGAGCCCACAATGTTAGCAAGCACCACGGTGACTTAAGAGAGGAGGAAAGCCGGGGGACCCAGGACACTAGCGCCCTGGACGGTTTCTGTGCTCCGAAGTTTGCGAAAGTGGGGCTAGACCAAGTTTCAGAGCCGTCGCCCCAAAGGAGGCTCCCACGCCATCTCAGCGTCTCTCCCTCCCTGCGGACACCCTGGGGAGCCCCTGCCGGCAGGTCCCGTGAAGCCTTCCGGTACCTTCATAGGGTTGTGGTTGTCCGTGCTCGTGCTGCCGAACATGCCGGTCCCGCTAGTTCCAAACCCCGAGGTTGTTCCAAACAGGCTCATTTTGGCCCTAAAAAATAACGATTAGTGTTAGGGACAGGCCCTTTCTCCAGTAATCAGGATCACTGGGGGCTAATTTAAAGCTCATTAAGTCACAGACGGGGAATAAGACTCTAAATGACTCGATGCCAGGTTCCTCTCTTCTAAAGAGATGTAAGTAGAAGTAAGTGCTTTTTAAAACTGAGCTTTCTACACCAGAGCAGTTCCCGTACACCCCACATCCAGCTTCCTCGCTTGCCTCACACGCTTGCCACCATCAATAAACCAACATGCCACGGCAGACGTTTCCAGCCCCCGGCTAGAAAACAGTTTGTGCGCAGTCCGAGACGCTGCACGTAGCACCAGGAACAAGCAGCCCACCCGCCAGAGCCCCCCCCTTCCAGGTCACCACTCAGTGAGAGTTCACCTTCTTACTAATTTCTACACCAGTTTATTTAGGTCAAAATCTCCCAATGAAGTCGCTAAGAAAAGCGAGCCATGCTGGCAAAGGTCCAGCAACTTCTCTGTAAAAGAAGTTTCAGAGTTCTCCACCAGGTCCGCCTGAGACCAGAAAGGTCTGGTATCACATCCTGGACAACACAGAACGGGGAAACTGCCAGGGATTCTGGGAAGGCATCTGGGATTCCCAACTTCGGGAAGAAAGCAAGCGCCGGCCTACTTGGTCAGAACAGCAACGTGCACGTGAGCGTCTCAGAGGGCAGCTCCAGGCGAGGACGCTAAGTGTGAGCGCTGCACAGGGCGCCCCGGCTCCCCGCACGAGTGAACACGGAATAACAAGGCCAGAGTCTGGGAAATGAGAGCTCACTCTGCCTTGATTTTCTCATCCACGAAAACAGAGTCACTAACAGCCACTGCACAGAATCACGAAACCAAGCGAGCCCGCATGCACGATGCTGGGGGAGCACATCTCTGCCACGAGGAACATAGGGAAGGAGCCAGGGTCATGCAAGCATGGACATGGACCTACGGGTCACGTGGACTACGTGGACTATGTGGACCATGGGTCACCCAGGACACCAGGACCCCTCACCGAGTTCAGGGGGCACGTGCACAACCGGAACCCACATCCCCGCCTGCGCCACTCTATGCGTCCCAGCCAGGCTGGCCCCCTTCCCGCGTGGACCCAGCACAGCCCCCCCCCCCCCCCCCCCCCCCCCCCGACCGGGAGCGCTCCCACCATCTGCCCCTTTCGCCTGGGGGGATCCGCCCTCCCCAATCCTCCCGAGGTCTGGCTGCATCTTCAGACCCCAGTTTACAAGTGAACTTCTGGGGGGTGATGGAAACGTTCCAAAACCGTGGTGGTGTTTGCACAACCGTATCAACCTTCCCAAACTCATCACAAAGGACCACTTTAAAAGGCTTCTACTAGGTGAGCTGTTAGTTCAGTAAGGCTGCCAGACCCGTCTTTTTCTAAAAGGTCACCTCCTCAAGAGGCGTCTCCGCTCTGCTCATTGACCATCTCCAACCTCGGATGGCATCGCCCTGCCCTCTTCGTGGCACCTGTCACGACCTGGTATCGTTTGCAACCAGGCTCCTTCCCAGGAAAAGCTCAGCTCCAGGCCACACGCGCGACCCTAAGCACAGTGCCTCGGCCACGGTGGCCGGTGCCGAACAGATGCTTGCCTGGGGGAGGCGTGTCTCCGTGTATCCAGTAAACACTCAGCAGAGGAGGCCGGAAACGGAGAGACAGATCAGTTTCTGAGAGTGGCAGTGCAACAAAGAAAGGTTAAGGCGGGGGAAGACTAAAAGGGATGGAGGCCCTTCCGTAAAGGAATGGTCAGGGAAGGCTTCTCCGAGGAGGCAGCATGCGTCTGATACGCCACACCTGTAACAGGGGAAGGCGGAGGCGACAGACGCTGCCATAAACTCCGTGACCCTGCCCAGTGCCTCAGTTTCCCCACAAGAAAGACGAAGGGGGTTAGACTCGAGGTGACCCCGAGGCCCCTGCCAGCTCTGAAGTCCCTCCCAGGGGCCGGTAACGAAGCCCGCTAGCCGGCCGGCTCGCGCCGCAGCACCTGGCTGGGGGCGCACTCCGCCGGGGGGCCCGGCCGTGGAGGCGCCATGGCCGCGGAGAGCGAGGGAGCGGCACGGGGCCTACCTGAGAGTCGCGCCGCGGCGGGGGGCAGGTGGCGGGGAGCGGGAGGAACTCGGGAGCCTGCGAGCCAGCTCGGGCGAGGAGGTGGCGGAGGCGGGGTGGCGCGGACAGAAAACCCAAGGGCCGAGATAACCCCACGCCGGTGGAGGAAACTGCCCCAATTACCGCGGAGCCACCGCGCATGCGCCCTGGGGCCACTTCCTGTATCGGCCGGAAGGCAGGAAAGAAAAAGGGCTTCCTCTTCTCGCGAGACGACAGCACATGCGCAGAAGCGCTATTGACGCCGAGAAGTAGTCCCCGTGCCAGCAATGTGCGGATTGGTCGAAAGTTGGTGTGGCCCTCCCGCAAGTTGCCAAGCGACCGTTTTAATACATTCGCCGCGCCAGCCCGCGGAGGGTAGTTAGTTATTTTCTCTTGAGAATTAAAAATCTAGCAGAATTCTGATTGCCGCCAACTCAAGTCCAAGGCCATCCTTGGAGAAGCTGATGGAATGGTGCCCGGGCTGCGAAGTCCGCCAGCCCTGAGCCCTGCCCTGGCCTCCTGTTTGCCGTCCGGGACTCTTTGGGCCTCAGTTTCCTTCTGTAAAATTGGCATAATGATGCCTGACTTCCAGGAAAATTCTTAGTTGGGTTCAAGTGAAGTAACACACATGAAAGACTTTTGCTAAGTGTAAGATTCCATAAAAATGCTAAGGGGCTGTTATGACACACACATAGACACGTGCCAACTCCAAATATTTCAGCTGGTTGCTGAATTTCTGAAGGAGAAAAGAGGGAGGGATCTCCTGGCTCTGGGACATACACTGAATCTTCTCGTTGGCTAGTCAGTGTGGTCTGCGAACCAGGAGCCTTTATATATCTGCAGCCGTTATAACCCACAGGATCTTTTAATAAAAGTCAGAAGGTCCAGGAGGAGCTGAGCAAATCCCCAGCTGAGCACCAAGAGTCTAGATGAGGTCTTTGGAATCGTTTGGGGGACATTATGTAAAGCTCTGCTGCCTGGGCCTCGCTCTCTAAATCAGATTTCTGATTTAGTTGATCTGTCGTGGAACAGGGGGTTAATAGTTTTTATGAGCTCCCCAGGTGATCCTAAGAAGCAGGCAAGATTGAGAACCTTTAGATCGTGATAACAATAACAATAGCTCTTTCGAGCACTTCCATCTCCTGTGATTTCCAGAGCAGCCCCATAAAGTACTATAATCCCCAATTTATAGAAAGGGAAGCGAGGCTGAGCGAGTAGCCTACTTGCCAAAATCCCACAGCTGCTAAGCAGCAGAGCCGGTGGAATCCGTCCAGTACCTCGCTACCAGCATGATCTTGGAATCGTCTCTGACAAGTGCTCCCTCCTCGAGGACGCCTCTCCTCATCCTTCCCAAAGGGTCATCTCATACTGTCTCTGCTTTAAACTCTCAAAGCCCCCTCTGTGCTGATCATATTCTGCCCCGTAAAACAGCATGCATTTGCCTTGTCTTGCTTGCTAGATTTTATCTTTTTTAATTTTTTTTATGTTTTATTTATTTCTGAGAGAGAGACAGCATGAACAGGGGAGGGTTAGAGAGAGAGGGAGATACAGAATCTGAAGCAGGCTCCAGGCTCTGAGCTGTCAGCACACAGCCCGACACGGGGCTTGAACCCCACTAACCGTGAGATCATGACCTGAGCTGAAGTCGGACACTTAACTGACTGAGCCACCCAGGCGCCCCTTGCTTGCTAGACTTTAAACTTCGTCTTAATCCCATGCGTATCCTTTGCAGCACCAAACGCAGCGTCTTACGTTGTTGAATTCTATTTTCCACGCCTGAGGAATACTTCAGAAACCTCTATTATGATACAGATTCTTGCACAATACTGGTGATTCATCACATTTTTAAAACAATCTTTCTGCTGTTTAGGGAGACATGAGTGACAGGCGGCTTTTGCATAGACCCTCAGGGAAAGAATAGCAGCGGCCTGCGCACCCAAATGTAGCAATAACTCACATTCCTCGACTTTCCTAAAGTACTATTCCAACGCTTTACAGGAATTACCACTTTGAGTCCTCACAATGAGGCTGTGGGGATATTGTCATTGTTGTCATCTCTAGTTCACGGTCAACCCAACCAAGGCCAGGCTGTTACCAGCCACAGAGGCAGTGAGGAGAATGGGGACTGAGATGCAAGCAGCCCGCTCCCCAAGTCTGACTCTGCACCTGCACTGGTGGCAGCCAGTCGCCTCATTTTTTCCCACTAGAACCAAGAAAGGGGGATCAAAACAATCTAAGCGCATGGGTATACTTATTGAGCCATAAAGTATAGGCAAAACCTTATTAGAAATAAAAAATAATTAAAATTAAATTTCAGTTACGGCTATCATTCACACGGATAAACACTTCCGCAGTTATTGCACAAGGCAGTCTTTGTGAATGATGACAGTTTATATGACATTTCTAGGTGAGTAGAAACTAAATATAATTTAAGTATCTATTCTTTTTCACTTAAGGTGATCTTTTGTTTCAAAATTTTATTTACAAAATTCTTTTTTTTTAATTTTTAATGTTTATTTTTGAGAGAGAGACAGAGAGACAGCGTGTGAGTGGGGGAGGGTCAGAGAGAGAGGGAGACAGAATCAGAAGCAGGGTCCAGGCTCCGAGCTGCCAGCACAGAGCCCGACTCAGGGTTTGGACTCAGGACCATGAGATGGTGACCCGAGTCGAAGGTGGACACTTAACTGACTGAGCCACCTACCCCGGTGCCCCTAATTACAAAGTTCTCATGTGCTGTTTAAGGTTTTATAAATAGCTTGGTGGCCAAGAAGCACACACAAAGTGCATCTTTAAAAGGAGTTGGAGGCCTCCAAAGCTGACGATACAGAATGGATTTTTGTCAAGAAGCAGTACTCAGCCTCACACAGGAAGCTTTGTGGTTTTCCTCAACTTCTTTTATTGTGTCTCAGACTCTTCTACTCCATTCCTTGAAACAATGACTTGAAGATATTTTAAAGAAATATCCATCCAAAAGAGCGGAAGGAGCTGAGATAACTAGAGCTTCTGCCAGCAGAGGGCGCCCTTGGCTCGTGTATACGGGACTGTTTCCTTGGGATACAGATTTGAATGGTGAACCAAAGTCCAAACAGAAGGAATGTCTCAATACTTTACTACAAAAGCATTCTGCTGCAGGTATCTTTTAGTGTATGCGTCACGTGGCTTAGCTTTGATAGCCACTGTTCTTTTCAGCACCAAGAAACAGGTATCTACCCCAAACAGTTCAACTGAGATATTCTCATTAAAGGAAGTCATGGACCGAAAGCCCAGAATCATTTTGCTTGTTCTGTGGAAACTGCAATATGCTCTGCTCTCACTTTCTTTTCCCAAATAAATGAAAATTATTTTAAGTAAGTTTCCAATCATAAAATTGAAATGACTGTAATTATCTAAACTGAATGTATCTGCAAGCCCTTTACAAATTTATTTTACTTTTTTTCTTTTTTAGTTTATTTATTTTGAGAGAGAGAGAGAGCACACGCACGTGTGTGCAGGGACAGGGCAGAAAGAGAGGCAGGGAGAGAGGATCCCAAACAGGTTCCGCACTGTCAGCGTAGCGCCTGACATGGGGGCTCCATCTCGCAAACCACAAGATCACGACCGGAGCCAAAATCAAGAGTTGGCCACTTAACCGACTGAGCCACCCAGGCGCCCCATTTTCAGAGTTTAATGACTACTGTAGATGCTTTATTCCTTTCCATGTTGACAGTCTATCCTACCCAGACACCGCGCAGCCTGACCGTGTGCTTCTAGGTTAGTAATGTTCCCTTTACACGTATCAATGTTCAGTGATACTAGATGTTAAGGAAGGAAGTATGGTATAAATTCAAAGAAATTTTTGTCAAGGTTTTTACAATTTGAGATAGTCTCACAAGTCAATTTGACAGTCTCACAGAATATTCTCAAAACGAAATACTTGGCTCTGAGATGACCTGGGAAAATAACATAATTTTTGACATTACAGGCTTGGCATCAGGAAGACCTGATTTGACCCCTATTAGCCAACAAGAAGAATTGTGGGCCTTTTCCGAGCAATGTGCACACTCGGTCACATGTGGCCCTTCATGTGTAGTGGTGTGTGGCTAAAGCAGGAGCCACGGGGCAGGAGCCACAGAGCCAGACTCTGGGTTTATGTCCCAACTCTGCTGCTTAGCAGTTATGTGACTTCAGGAAAAGTTACTCAGCATCTCGGGACCTTTGTTATCTCATCTGTGAAGTGGGGCTAATAAAAGTACCCAGCTCACAGACTTTCTGTGAATATGACATTAATGTTCAAAAGCACCTAGAAAAATACCTGGTGCATCATAAGTGCTATACAAGTACTTTGTTTTCTTATTGTATTACCTTATTTAAAGTTTACCAGAACCTCTGAGTAGGGCCAGCTTCGCGGGAGGGCCATCGCGCAGGCCCCATGTGCACTTTAATTCCCTGCTGCGGCTACCTTCAAATTCTTAATAACTTTTTATTTTTTCTTTTGAGAGACAGTGCACGAGCAGGCAGAGAGTCAAGGAGACAGAATCCGAAGCAGGCTCCAGGCTCTGAGCTGTCAGCACAGAGCCCGACGCAGGCTCGAACTCACGAACTGTGAGATGGTGACCTGAGCTGAAGTTGGAGGCTCAACTGATGAGCCCCCCAGGCGCCCCTCTTAATAACTGTTGAGTGAGGACCCTATAGTTACATTTTGTGCTGGGCCCGCATATTTGGTAGCTGGTCCTGCTTTTGAGGTAAACTGTGTTCTTGTCCCATCTCTGCCACCGCCTGGCTATGTGGCTTTGGAGCAACATGCCCTGTGTTCTCACCTGTAAACTACACGTGTGATTAGTTACAGACCTGACAGGGCTCTTGGAAGACTTAAG